ATGCTACAACAGTCATTAACTGTGAAAAATGGTCGTGTCACTTTTTTTCAGTCATCGTACTTTTGAATGATCACTAAATGAATTGTTGTAAGTCGAGGACCAGCAGCTGACTATGATAATGATTTATCACTTACAGCTTTTATGTACAATGAGAGCTTATGCATCGAAGACAAATTCCTTGTGTGTTGAGTCACACTTGGCCACTAATTCTGTTCTCTTCTGTTCCCTTCCATTCCATTCTATTCTATTCTTCTGGTTTCTGGCAAAAAAAACCACATTCACTTAACGACTGCTGCAGAAGATGTAACTCACAATCTCCTGCTTTCTAGCCTTAATCACTTAGACAAAATTGGCTCTCATTTTTCATATGGGATCAGTTATAAGTGGCATGAAACCAGAATATGCGTTTTCAGAAGTTGTAATCTGAAATAGGAACAAATGTATGTTTTCTTAAGATCTTAATGAAATAATTCCTAGAAGGTTGCTGTGTTACCATTGATGCAAATTACTATAAAGATGAAATTTAAGATCAGTTTTTAATTGAAAAATGAATGATACCAGTAGGTTGTCATTCTGAAATCCCTCTGTCGACAGAAATCGTTATTTTCACTGAAGCCCTTTCTCCTTTGAGTTACTTCTAAACTTTCCAACCAGCACTGTGGTACTAAATACTTAACTTGGTGAGATGGACACTGAGATGTATTAACTGCACCTTTTATTCATAGACAAACAATCCAAATGGCTTCCCTGCCTAACTCTTGGTTAATTAAAAAGGAGCCATTTAAGTGACCCAGTGCCTGTCTACAGTTGTTGTCTTCTATGGGTATAAAAAGGCAGTAATTTTTTTGACAACCACTGATTGGAAAGTTGCTTGCAGCCATCTGGAAGCAAAGGGTACACGTTTTGGATCAATAACTAGCAAATTTTCCATTAAAAAGAATACCTGAAGAGTGTTCCAAATAGCCCCTGGCATCTTAACTTTCCATGGCAACCCCAAGTGCTGAGATGTGGAGGACAAATCATTTTTGGACCATTTTTCCAGACTACTTGTTAACAGTTATTGCTGTCCCAGAAGGTTGACAGCTGACATGATTGATATTTCATTTACTTGTCATCTCTGTTTGAGTAATGGAGAAGGCCATTCTTTTTTATTATTATTATTATTTTTAAAGAAACAAAGAGCGAAATCTACTCAGAGCCTCTCTGGAGTCAGTCCCAGGAAAATGAGTCAGAGCCGCCTAAGAATCTGCTTCGGAAGCTGAAACTCTGGCTTTGATGTCATGTTTTCAGCTCTTTTTGTGCCTCCAGGCTGATGCTAGAGGAGAAGACAAGCAAAGTCCTGCAGATCGAGATACAGGGGACTCAGCAGGGGCAAACCACAGTTTCTCGCCTTATTTAGAAGGAAGGATTGTCTTGTAAGATAAAGCTGAACGTGTTAGGCCTGCAGCCATCTTTTCTTTTGGGTCTTTGGCCTGCCACACTTTCTATTATTCTGATATGCATTTTCTATTGTGGGAAAATGGGAGGGAGGATTGCAAGGAGAGAGATACTATGTAGCCAAAACAAAATTCCTTCTAGAAAGCCAAGGTCATCCTTTGTCTCTGCACCTTTGCACCTGACCGGAACTGGATAGGTGGAAGCTGCCAGCATGGCAGTGGGAGATTGGACCATGTGATGAACTTGTGGGTTTGGGGGAAAGATCTTGAACTTTCAACTGGGTGGGGAAAACCAGGAAGTTTTCAGATTCAGGTTTTCCCAGATGTGCCAACATGGCTCTCTTCATAAATGGGAACTTTGAGCAATATTTTGCCTCGGATTCTCATTTGCTTTTTGGATGCTATTTGGAACATTCATTTAGTTCTGCAGTCTCTTGTCTTTAGACCAGGGGACGTCCAACCTTGTCAACTTTTTAAGACTTGTACACTTCAGCTCCCAGAATTCCCCAGGTAGCCATGCTGGCTGGGGAGTTCTGGGAGTTGAAGTCCACAATCTTAAAAGTTGCCAAAGTTGGACAGACTTGCTTTAGATGCAGATGAAGAACCTTTAACAATAATTAATAAGGTCAGTCACATGTTTTGCCTAGATATTCCGTTGAGAAGTTTTGCAAGCAACTGGGCTTCATCCCTAGGATCCGTGCAAATGGGCTGCAGCACAGCCTTCCAGGAAACTCCTAGAATTCCACAGTATTTTCCAGCAGGATGTTCCCATCTGTCTCATGGAGGTCTTCCACCATCAGGAATCAACAGGGTTCTCCATGGATGACCTAGAATTAGCCCCAAACTGCTTTCTACGTGACTCGGTGGCTCACTTTGTTTCTGTATCTGATTGGTGGGAATCTTGCTTTTGCCTTGGCCTATTTTGTGGTATCATATTTGTACTTGTATAAAAGTTAATATCTCATCATCATAGTGATTTGGGATTGGCACCTTCACCCATATTAATATACTATGAAAGAAGCACGTGTGATGTGCGGGTTCTAGAAATATGCAGTCTATTTCTCCTCTTGGAATTCTGATTAAGGGCCTGGTTGATTATTGATGGAACTGTGTGTGTGTGTGTGTGTGTGTGTGTGTGTGTGTGTGTGTGAGAGAGAGAGAGAGAGAGAGAGAGAGAGAGAGAGAGAGAGAATGTGTATGTGCTTATTGTAACAAGATATAGTAGTTAACCAAAATGCTATGTGTATCTTGGAAAGTGCTTGTCAGTGTCCTTGGAGCTGCCAAACCAAACTGATTATTTTCCATACATGATTCTCAGAGTCCTCCTCTTTACCAAGATTTAGTGTGTTGAAAGGTTACAAAGTTACAAAGATTCCAGCAACTGAACCATTTTCCATTGGAAAATCAATGTGCCAGTAGTCCTCAGCTTACAACAGTTCATTTAATGATCGTTCAAAGTTACAACGGTACTGGAAAAAAATGACTTACAACTGTTTTTCACACTTGCAACCATTGAAGCATCCCCATAGTCAAGTGATCAAAATTCAGATGCTTGGCAACCGACTCATATTTATAACCGTGTCTCGGGGGTCATGTGATCATCTTTTGTGACTTTCTGACAAGCAAAGTCCATGGGGAAGTGAGATTCACTTAACAACCGTATAAGTAATTTAACAACCGCAGTAATTCACTTAACAGCTGTGGCAGGAAAGGTCATAAAATGGGACAAAACTCACTTAACAAAAGTCTCACTTAACAACAAAAGTGTTGGGCTCATTTTTTTCTGCTTATTAAAAATATACAATTGTGGTTGTAAATCAAGGACTACCTGTATATGTTAGTATAGCGATTTTCTGATTCTTCTTTTAAAGCCTTCCAGTAAACTGGTGAGAAAGCGAGTCTTATCAGTTATTTTCATTCATTTGTCTTCAATGCTTGCAACATACCCCTGTCCTAGGATTCAGGGTGGCACAGAACAGAGTAAAAGTAAAGAATGAATAGAAAGAAAAAAAACCCCATAAAATTAATAATACAGCCAAAAGACAAACAGAGGTAGATGAAAGCATTTCCTATTGACTCCTCAGTACCTCCATTACAATAACACGGTTAAAATCAGCCTCAGATATAAGATACGAAATGCTTACATCTACCTCTCTTCGTCTTTTTGCTGTATTGTTTAAATCATTAAACGAGACGATTGTTTTAAATAAAATCAATAGTGGAGAATAACATTTGGTCCTGCTTAAGAGCACAATGTGTAGTTTTAACAGGTTTACCTGGAGGCAGGTGGTTCCCTATTATCTCTACTCAGGTGGGTAGACCAACCCAGGCAAGGGGTTGCCTCATGCAATCCAATGCTGTGTCAGGGTTTGTTGGCATTCATATCACCTCGAATTGAGCCCGGAGCCCTGTTGGCAACCAGTGCTGTAACCTTAGTATTATGTTATGCTGCCCTGGTGGGATTATCCCATCCACCACTTAGGCACTGCATATTGCATCGGCTATAATGGGTTATCACCCAAGCTGTGACAGTGGTGATTAAACCATGAATCACTGTCACTAAGGCACCCTGGCCCACATACGTGTACGGAGGTCAGTGTCCTCAATCTCCAAAATGAAGATTGGGTCAACTATGTATCCACATTATGTGTTAGAGTCATGTTTACTTGGAAGAGGATCACGGTTGCCCCAAAGACTATGAACGAATGGGGTGCAGCCAAATTCTCTCCCAAGGAATGGAATCCTTCCCCAAGACTCTCAATACCAGCCACAAGGTGACATCTAGGAGCTCAGGAAGACTTGGGTGGTTGATACCAAGAGGTATCCTATTCCTATGAGTTAGGTCCACTTAGAGGCAACTCAAGAGCTAGATATTCCCTATCAGTGTCTACATTTAACTCTGGGTTTCATTCTTTCTCCTCCTCCTCCTCCTCCTTCTTGTCAGTCATCCTGTTTAGGTCTTCCTGATCTAATTGCCCCCATAGCTTTATCTCAAATTGATCTTGACTTAGCAGTGTACTGGACAGTATCTCCTGGCTCAGACTTTCAGAAGGAGCTGTTGTTGACTCTTTTAAGCGTGGCCAAAGGTCAGAGATGGTTGGATGTGCATTTCTACATATCTCTTGGGATTTGGAAGGGTTCCCCCAAAGGACACATCATCCTACAACGGATGGTCTGAATCAAATGTTTCTGCTCTGTCTTTATGGAGTGGAAAACATTTGTTTCTGTAATCAAAGTCAATCAGGTGGTTGGTTGTCCAGCATAATCCGGAACAAATCTCTCTCTGCCTTGGACTGAGCAGAGGGAAGCCAGATTCAAAGTACCTGTTTGGATTGGAGGAACTGCAGGCTATTAAAGCCTGGCTGAGCAGAGATCTTTGACGGCTGTCAACAACCCCAGTGGAGAGCTACCTGCAGTCCAGAGTTTGCTATTTTGGGGCCAAGTTGCCATATTGGTGACTCGTTTGAAGGCAGACAAATACAGAGGAAGGGAAGGGAAAGTTGTGATATGTTGCGTGCATGCCAACATATGAGGGAGGCCTGCAGGTAAGATCTGGTGAGAGTGTTGAACAGCAGATAAATGTTTAAAATTCAATTTTTCAAGTCTGTGTTGATTGGTTTGCCTCTAATATGACTATTCTGGAATTGGTGAATTGAAGAAAATGTACAAACCTGCTTGCCATTCTTATCTATTTTTTTCAGTATTACACAACTGTAATGGAGCAGCAGGGAAATGGACAGCTGATCGTCCCCCTGCAGATCTACCCAAGAGGTAATTTTGCACCACGTTTAACCCCTACCAATGTTCCATCAGGTCTTCTATTTTCTAGAGGTTCAAAGACAGAGAATTCTACAGTTTGGTCTTAAGTTGGGGTTGAGAAATCTATTTTTTGAGTGTAGCTGCAGCTATTTTCTAAAGCAAACCAGGATAACAGAAGTTATAGTTTGCGCCGCACAATATGTGGAAGTTTAAAAGTTCAGTGTGGCTGTATGCACAGGCCTCCCCCAAGGGGTTAGGCCCAAGCCACAGATAGTCTCCACATTGTAGTCGGGGCCTGTGTTTTTGTGATCCGGTATTGCAAAAATGGGAGTATTGTAAAACCTGAAGATAATATCATTTTCCACACTTATGTGTGCATGTTATGTAATTTTCTCCATGCGCTTATATATTTTCTTCAGAAGCATAATTTTTGATGATTGCAATTAAATGCAAGTATATTTCCATGCAATAAATCAATTGAAATACCTCAAAACTAAACTATTCCCCTGCCTAAATGATCATACTGCAAGCTTTCCAATTAAAACATTATAGACTTCTCATTACTTATAACTCTCCCCATTTTGAATTGGGCAATTTACTGACAGGTTTCCTAGCAAGCTGATCAGGGTTATAAAGAGGGCAGCAGTTTGAAGATGGAATTCTCCTCTTGAAAAAGGATGCATGTAGAACAGAAATAGGTCAACATCCATAGCAGCTGTCTGCAAGGAATATAAATCCTTCCATTTCCCCCCCCTCCCCCCCCCCCATCCTGTCAGAGCTGAAGAAGCTACTTGGATGAGAAGTGAAACGTCTTCAAAAGAAAAAACCAGAAAGTCCAGTTGCCTCCTGAAAAAAAGCACCTTTGGGACAACCATGACCTGGGTGACGGAGAATCTGTAGATGTATAACTTTCCATGCACTGGGATTCTTCTTCTGTTGATGCAGCGTCAAATTACAACTTATCTTTTTACCGTCCGTATCCCACTGCTGACTCTGCCTCACCTTGAAGTCAATGGCAGTTTCAAAATCCTTTGCACCTTTGTTATTGTTAATCCAGATATCCCCAACCTACATCTTAAATGTTCAACTTACGTTTCTTATGCAAAGTTTGCATTTATCTTTATTGCTTTTCATTTTATTATCTTTCTTTTCATTCTCTTATCTAGTAAGATTGTTTTAAGCTTCATTTCTGCCTTCTAGCATTTTAGCTGTTTGACTTTATATTCAGCCCACCTCAGTGTCGAGTAACTGGGTGGCTTACAACATCATAAAAGCTGAAATATAAAACATTCAAACATTTAAAGTTACCAAGGCTGCCCCACCCCAGTTTTGTGATACCTGTAAACAGAGGAGATTTAGATTTAGATTTAGATTGCTTTTATTTATAGGCCGCCCTTTTCCCTGAGGGGACTCAGGGCGGCTTACAACCTATAGGGAGGGGATACACGTAATGACATATACAGACAATACACAATTAAAAATAGAAGCAACATTCATTCATCATTCGGGTGGGGAAGCATCCTTCCCATTCTTCATCCAAATATTATTGAAATTGTTGAAGTACAGAGACTGTTGCAGTGCTCAACTCAATGCCATCTCCAATTGCAGGGGGAACCGTGAATAAGTGTGATTTTTTAAAGCCTGCTACGTATCTCCCCAATTGTCCTGCCATACTTAATCAGTTTGCTAATCGGCATACTATGTGGCACTGTCAGATGCTTTGCTGAAGACAAGATACCTTATTATGTCCATTGCATTCCCACAGTCTGCTCAGAAAGTGGCCAGTTTGCCCTAATCACACAACCATTGCAGAGTTGGTCCTCCTGGTCATGTGATCAGAATAGGGCCGCTTGGCAACTGGCATGGACTTATGACGGTTGCAGTGCTCCAGGGACACCTGATCCTCTTTTGCAACCTTCTGACAAGCAAAGTCAATGGGGGAGCCAGATTCATTTAACAACCAGTTAGTTAAGTTAGCTGCAGGGATTCACTTAGCAACCGTGGCAAGAAAGGTCACAAAATGGGGCAACGCTAACTTAACAACTCTGTGGCTTAGCAACAGAACTTTTGGGCTCAATTGTGATCGAGGATTTCCTGTTTTAGAGTTAGTAATAATAATCTCTTTTTAAGGCTACACCTTCATTAAGCAAGGAAGAAGGGAAGGGAAGCTCTGATTGGCATATTATCCAGTGCATGGGTCAGATGGGAGAAGGGCATTCACACATGTGTGTTAGAGCAGGGCTCTCCAACCTGGGCAACTTTAAGACTTGTGGACTTCAACTCCCAGAGTTCCTCAGCTAGCAAAGTCCACAAGTCTTAAAGTTGCCAAGGTTGGAGAGCCCTGTGTTAGAGTACATGTGGCACAGAAAGGAAGATCTGAACAGAAAAGGATTCCAGAGGTTTGGGGGGGGTCACCACTAAGCAGATGTTGATCACAAGTGTGTGCCAATCAGCAGATCTTCACGGCGACACTACAGGGACCCCAATGGAGGTGGGTGATCAAGTAACAACAAATCCCCCCTCTCCCCTTTCACCCCCGCCCTTCTGACATGTCCTAGATCTTGATTTTAATTTGTTGTTTTAATGTAGGCATATTTTTATGTCTGTAAGCCGCCCAGCGAGGAAATTCTGGGAGTTGAAGTCCTCACATTGAAAGAGGCCAAGGTTGAGAAACACTGCCAGAGATAAATCTGACCATTCACATAATTTGATCCCAATTTAAACAACCAATTGCTCTAATTTTTATTTAATTTAATTCAGCACTCTACATTTCAATCAATCATTTTGCATTGATTGGATCTTTGTATCTTCAATTGGTGGCTTAATTCCGTAAGCGATCATGGTTGTAGCCACTGTAGGTCTCCTTTTATTCATATGCCCAAAGAAATAAACTTAGCCACAGCATTTCTGCCCAAATTAGGGGAGATCCCACAAATTTTACTCTGCTAGTCGCTGCTGACTGTAGAGGATGGTGCTCATCTCTGTTTCCAGGGCTCTTGAGCCAGTGCTGCCCGAAGACATTTCCACGGTCATGGGCCCAGCATGATGTCATGCAGCCCTGTTACCTGCCCAGTGTTATCTATTTATCTACTCGCATTTGCCTGCTTTCAAACTGCTAGGTTGGCAGGAGCTGGATGAGGATGGGAGCTCCTTGTGTCGTATGGAGCTCAGATCTTGAACCTGGGCTGCCGACTTTCCAGCTGACAAGCCCAGAGTCTTAGTCACTGAACCATCACACTGCTTCCTTGCCCCAAATTAGGAATAGCTTATTGTTTTTGTCCCCCTCCCCCCCATTGGACGATATTCCTATTTTTCATTCCCACTCTTTTCATTCCTTCTGTCCACACACTAGCAACCCACCATCTCTTATTTAAGGATATGCTAGCAATGTTTAATGTAGTTTAAATTGCACGGGGCCTGTCCCAACTGCTGTGTTTAATAACTATCATCTGTGTCCTCTTGACTAATAAATGGCTCTGTTTCCTGCTGTCATAACCATGAGTGAAATGCATATATTTCAGAAGAAGGGGGAGAGAAAGGGGGGGAAATCAAATCCATCCTTTCCCAGACAATCAATCAAAATTGACAGGCCCTTTAACATATTATTTGTAGGGCGCTGTAGTTTTAAAATGGGAACTGTCTGTAACATATAGCTCCGAGCCTTTTTGGTTTTAACATTTGCCCGAACACTCCATTGGGTTGGAAAGGGGCAGCGGAATTCCAGGGGCGTTAAGGAAATGTAATTCTTCCTTTTGCTCCAGTTCATCTTGAAGCCTGTGAGAACAGCCTGACAATAGATCTGTGCACGTAGCTGGGATGAAAGAGCATCTTAATATAGACTGTATTTTGACTCCTGAGCTCCCCAATGCTGCTTTTAATGCCCAGCTTCTCTTTTCCCACATAAAAACAAGAGAAGACTTCGTTGTGGTAACACAGAATGCAGGTCCTTGTTCTTTGGGGTGCTGAGCACGTCAGCTCTCCTGTTTTAAACCTCCAGCGGATGTGTTAGCCTGCCCACCCCCCATACAGTGTCACCAGAAAACATGTGAAGATGAAATATTGTAAAAAAGAAGGGGGAGAAAGAATTACACACACGCACTGGAAGTTGGAGCAGGAGATTCTCTTGATGGCTTTCATTTTAATATCTTTTAAGATTTAAATAAGCCGAGGCTTCGATTTGTTGGTTTAAAAAAAACATGTTCCTACAGGCCCAGAGATCCCACTTGATCCTCTTTGCTGAGAGTCTTTCAGCAAAGAGTTTGCTGGGAGATGCCTTTCGATCATTTCACTCCACTAATTTCTGTATCGCCCTCGTTACAAAAAGAAAAGATTTCATTTTGAACAAATTTGTAAATGGTGCTGATGTATTCTACAATTTAGTCAATTACTGTTTCAGCTTGCAAGCCTCCTGGGAAAAGGAACATACATGGCCTGAAGGTAGGAATTTCAATAATTGTTTCCGTAAACGTAGATGGATTTGCAATGCTGTGTTCCATTTATTGAAATGTCAGATAAAACTGTACTTTCTCAGCCTTGACAAGCATATATATATATACACACAAACCGCAGCAGAGAACAGATCCTTCCTGGGTGTGAGCTCAGCTGGTCTGACTTGCGCATGGAGAGGCATTGTTTCCTTCCTGGGTTTGTGAATCCGTGTCTTAGATCAGCCTTGAGGACGCTGAGGCAGTAGCTTGTCCTGCTGTCCCCCTTTTGATACGACAGATCTGCAGAAACACTCCTCTTGGACCACCTAAACGACCCCCAAGCAAAGACAAAAGAGGGCACGGGTTGAGATGCCTACCTGCGTAAGAGCAGCTGTATGACTAGGGTTACCTTCCCTTCGATCGCTCCCCCCCCCAATGGGCAACGTTATTGTGGTTCCTGGGTTGAATTAGGAATCCCATACGATGTGCAGGAAATGCCTCCATCTTTTCAGTGACATTAGAGAGAGGTAATTGATATATTCGTGCAAAAAGGTGATGGGCCGGGGAGGGAAGGAAGAGATGTATTTAATAGAGACGCAATGAAAGCTGTATTGTGTGGCAGCTCCTGATTGCATTACCTAACCAAGCATTTCAAATGCAGAGAGAATAAAAGAACACAGTTCCTCAATAATACAATGTGGTAACCTACATACAGGCTGGGTTTTTACCATGGGCAACTAGCTAATTAACCTTCCTAGTGAAATAGGAAATTCATGGCAAATTACAGGTTAATTAGAACCACCTCCTCTGAATAAAAACTACGGATAAAGATTCTTTTTCCCCCCGCAGGTAAATACGCGAGCAGGGTCTGCTAACAATAGCAGTGCGGCCATCTCAGACTCCCTTCCAAGCCATAGGTAAGAGTCCGGGTGGTGGTGGGGGAGGCACGCTTGCGCTTTATTAAGGCACAGCCCCAGAAGTGATTTTTGCATAGTAATTAACGGAAGCAAACAGAGGGAAGGTGGGAATACTTGGGGGGGATTTAGTTGAGTAGTTTTCAGCAAGGTTTTTACAGCTTGGTGAATCCAGCACCAACCTTGCCTGCTAGTCGACCTACTTCAGTGTGGATTCTTTGACATCCCCCTAAGCAAAATGTTGCATGCACTGCATGTGCACCTCTCTGTCACTTCTTCTGCGTTGGGCCTTGCATTTTAGGAGAAGAAGAATTTCTCCAGGTGTGATTGAGCCAAACCGCTCGTGTCTGGGTTGCAACCTGAGCTATCAGGCTCCCATTTGGACAGGCGCAGCACGGAAGGGTCTCAAACGTTGGCCCAGTTATAAGTTCAGCAGGGAGATCTAAGCCAATTTGGTTTAGTGGTGAAGATGCCAGGCTAGAAGTCGGGAGGCTTTGAGTTCTGGTTCCGCCTTTGGCAGGAAAGGTGACTTTGGCCAATCAGCAGAAGACCAGGAGTTCTAGTCTTGCCTTGGGTATGGAAGGTCTCTGGGTGACTTCTCTCTCATAGCTCACATGATGGGGTTGTTCTTGTGGAGAAAATAGGAGGAGAAAGGAAGAGTGGTATGTCTGCTGCCTTTATATATAAAGAGGAAGTAGGAGGAGGAAGATGAAGGGTGTGGATGTGTTTTCCAGCATAACTCTGGAACCCTTCAGAGTAATTTCAACCAAACTTGGTACACAGATGACTTCTCTCTGGAAATAAGTACTGTGGGGGTAAGACACCCGCAACAGAACATAGGTATGTGTTCTGTTACGATACAGCCTGTGCCTTAAAATGGCTTTTCCTGTTGTGCCTTCAAATGGCTTCTACTGTACAGCGCAGTGGAGTTGCCATGGTAACGGCTTCACAGTACTCCACAAGGGGGGCTCCCTCTTGTAAGGGGGAAAATCCAACATTAGAAATTATGTTTTGTCCGGACATTTTCCCCCTATAAATAAATACCCGGACCATGCCAGGTTATCATCTAGTTATTTATAAAAACAATAAAGGTGGGAGATATATTAATGTAAATAAGGCACCAACTCTTTCTCTCAGTTTAGGGTCTCAGTTTAGGGAGTGCTAGGGATACCTCAGGTAAGCATTTGCAAGTAAGGGCTGTGCAGACCTTTCTAAATGATCCTAAGAGCGTTCCTTGGAATAATATTTGTTAATGCAGACTTTGCTTCAAATCTGAGCTAATTACTCTTAATGTGGTTTTTGTGCTCAGCCCCTTGCTAGAAAACGGGGCCTGATGGCTCTCATAACGGAAGGGAAGGATAAGAGGTGTGCTGAATCTGGCAAAGATAAAAGCTGGGCCTTGAGCCAAGGGAAAGGAGCGGCAGTCAGGAAGGAACAAATGGAGCAGAAATCCTGACAATGAGAGGGCCACTGGCTCTTTGGTCTGTCTTGCCAAGAAGGAGGAAACCTTTGCCCCTAAGCAGAGCCAAAATGGCCTCTGGCATTAAGAAGGGTTTCTATAGAGTTCTCTGTGACCTAGGAGGACCTCCTGTGTTGTCGGTAAGTGCCATTGTGGCCTGCAGTGAAATGGACAAATGTGGGATTTTGCATTTAAAAAAAACCCTCTACAGTTTATGATGAAGGGTCAGAATAATTTCCATATTGTGCTTTCAATGCAAAGATTATATTATCTGCCATTATTAAACACAGTCTGATGTTTAAGCTCAGTTTGTAGGGCAAATTTCCCGCTTGCTTGCTTTGTGGTCATTTATTTCCTCAGCTACACTCACTTGGAGCTGATTCTGCAAATGCCCTGCAACAATGGCTTGAGTTGATGCTGTCATCTAATGGGGCAATTAATTGGCTTTCATTCCCAAAAGCCATCTGCATAAGGAATGACTGTTTTGAAGTCATTGACAGCCTGCCTGTGTTTCATGTTCACAAAACGGCTAGTTGCAAGAGATGACAAGATCAGCCTACATTTCATTTGGCAAAGTACTTTTTTCTTTAAAGTATTCTAGCAGAGAGGAGGCTTATTAAAGAACAAAGAAGTTTCTTTTATTTCCGTCAGGATCGATGATCAAGACACCTCAGACTGTCAAGAACATAATGGTTCTTTTTAAGGGCTCCTTTTCAGATGTAGTTTTCTGTGGCAGCAGTAAGAAATGGTTGTTGGTATTTAACGTTTATGGACACCACAGAAAATTTTCTTCTACGTATTTGGGATAAAATTAGTAGAGAGTACACAAAAGCACCCCCTTGTGTTCATGCACAACAACACTTCCCTAAGGTACGGTCCATGCAGAGGGAACTCCTGCTGGATTGTGCTGTGAGCCAGCTTTTCTCCCAGGTCCTCCCGGAGAAACCAGTTCAGCTAAACTGGGCTGAAGCAAAAGATCTTAAGTCAGGCTCATCCTCTCAATAAATAGCAAATTGCAGCTATTCACAGGTTTTTGCTACAAAGGCAAGGGTCAAGAGACGTTTTAGTACTGTTTAGTAATGCCTTGGTAAGACTGCACTTGGAATATTGCATCCAGTTTTGGTCGCCATGTTATAAAAAAGATGTTGAGATTCTAGAAAGAGGTGCAGAGAAGAGCAACCAAATTGACTAGGAGATTGAAATATATGAAGAACGGTTGCAGGAACTGGGTACGTCTAGTCTAGTGAAAAGAAGGACTGGGATGAAATGGTAGCAGTGTTCCAATATTTGAGGGGCTGCCACAAAGAAGAGGGAGTCAAGTTATTCTCCAAAGCATCAGAGGGTAGGACAAGAAACAAAGGATGGAAATTAATCAAGGAGAGAAGCAACTTATAACTAAGGAGACATTTTCTAATGGTGAGAATAATTAACCAGTGGAGCAGAAGTTGCCTTCAGAAGTTGTGGGTGCTCCAGTCACTGGAGGCTTTGAAGAAGAGACTGGACAGGTCTCCTGCTTAAGCAGCCTAGAAGACCTCCAAGATCCTTTCCAATTCTGTTATTCTGCATGAGGACCTTTGAACTGCGCAACCTTCCCAGATTCTTTTTGGGTTTCTTGGGAAACCATTAACTTCCCCAAGGAAATTCATTTGCCACTGTCAGTACTTTAAGGAGACTATAAACGAAGCAAAATGTGTGTGTATGTGCTTTACACACTTAATTCCAATTACATCACTGCATAGTTTACACACTTGTAATCCTAGGCAGATGTTCCAATTAGCCACAAGGTACTCTTAGGCAAAGGACAGGTTGTAGCTCCCCTCCATAAAGTGCAGATGGATGTTGACTTCTCTTTTTCTTTCTTCTTCCCCTTTTTACCTTTGTTCTGCCCAATGCTGCAGTCTGAAGAAGTCCTCCGCTGAGCTGAAGAAAATCCTAGCAAATGGCCAGGTAGGTACATTGGCGTGGGGCTGGCGGCAGGCACGACGGATGTCTGCCTAAATTCAGATGTGCCCTGTGTGCTCAAATCACCCCAGAGATGTTTACTGCTCACTTACTGGTAATGTGTTCTTTTAATAAAGTAGAAGCGAAGGCAGGCAGAGAGGCTGCGCGGTGGAGGAGCCCCTGTCCCGATTGATTTGGATTGGCACGCCAATTTACTTCCCCTTTTTCAAAATGCACTAATCAGATTTAGCTCCAAATAGATTGAAGTGCCTTTCACACCCGCCACTCGGTTGCCTCAATTTAGGGGAGAAAGCGTAATCAATTTTGAATAGCAAAAGAGGGTTTCTGCTTTGCTGGCTGTTTGCAGATGGGATCGGACAGCCCTGCCACCCAAGAGCCAGTAGCAAAGGGGTCACCAGAGGGGTGTCCGTCCCTTGAAGCTCTATAGAAGAGGAGGGAAAACCATAAAAAGTGCCCCAACCTGCTCCGACTCCTGTGGGGGAATGCGATGGGCGAGAGGAGAGGCCGGGCCAGCCCCTCCTGGCCACTCGGATTCAAACAGGAAGTCCCAGCGTCGCCTAATGGCTTTAAATATACACCCCGAAATGAAAATACCTCAAGGCTGCGGGATTCTTTGCCAGCCACATAAATAAGTTTTAATGTTTGTCATGGTGAAACCCTTTGATAGCCTTGGAGGCATCCCTTGTCCACGCCGTTCAAGCCTGCCTATTAGACACTATTGACTGAGACATCTGTGTCACCGCAAATAAAAGACTCTTATTGATTTTCTTAACTGCTGTTCACTTCCCTTCCGTGTTTCGAAGGCTGAAATCTTAATTATCTCAGATGCGTATTCAATGCCTTCACACAGTGACCTCCCCGAGCCTCTGTGGCATTTCATGAATCAAGTAGTGGTAGTTGAGCGTGTCAAGAAGACAAAAGCAGATCTTCCCGCGTGTCCTTCAGCGGTTCACCTGTAAGGCTGCTCTCTTAATGGGAGAGGATGGTCCTGCCAGACTTGCTCCACTGCAGGCTGTTTTATTTGCAGCCAGAAGCCTTTAAATAAAACTTCAGAATATGGATTTTGGCTCTTCTTTTTTAAGCGTCGTCTTACCTGAAGGATAGATAGAGAATATTTTTAAATCCTTTGTGCTGTTGCTTTTTTTGTTCCCTGTCTTTTATTTAATCTTCAGCTGCTTGTCTGTAATAAAGGTGATATTTCAAGGGTAGAGGAGGGAATGAAATATTATTGGACATTTTTTGAAAGCCTCGCAAAGCAACGGGCTTTCAGTATCCTTGAGTGAGGTAAGGAGGTTTTTAATTGGGAACGAAAACAATTTCTTAAGGAAGGTTTGAGATGCCTATGATGACTGAATTGCACTGAAGTAAATAGGTTTACTTAAGTTGGAAGATTGATTTAGTTTTCAAATGGGCTTCAAGTCACATTCCTTTAATGTTGCTGAATGCTTGGTATTAAAAAAATGAACAAAGAGCTGGCTTTTTAATTCAAAAAATGCATTAAGTACACGCAGTCCTCGACTTACGGCCATAATTGAGCCCAACATTTCTGCTCCTAAATGAGACATTTGTTAAGTGAGTTTTGCCCCATTTTACGACCTTTCTTGCCACAGTTGTTGTGAATCGCTGCAGCTGATAAGTGAGTAACACGGTTGTTAAGCGAATCTGGCTTCCCCTTTGACTATCCTTGTCAGAAGGTTGCAAACGGGGATCACATGACCCTGGGACACTGCAAACGTCATAAATGCGAAACAGTTGCCAAGCGTCTGAATTTTGATCACGTGACCATGATGATGCTGCAATGGCCTTCAGTGTGAAACATGGTCATTATTCACTTTCTTCAGTGCCGTTACAACTTTGTACAGTCACTAAATGGACTGTTGTGTAATTCAAGGACTACCTGTAACAGCTCTGAAGGCCTCCCAGAGTGCATTTTGGAGGCTCCCGGGCATTTGGACGAATGGTGAGCCCCAAGATCTCTGGATGGAGCCCAGATTGGGAAGGCAAGAGGCCTGGCAGAAGAAGCGCTGGAAGAGAACCGCGTGCCTCTCTTGTCCAAAACACCGCCAGGAGCAGAGCTCAGGTGGAAAGAATTCCATCTGCAGAAGGTGGCAAAGAGACGCTAGTATCAACACCTGAGCCTTTCCCATGGAGAGGACTGGAGCCTCTAACCCCGTGATAGCGAGCCTATGGCGTTCCCAAACTCCCGGTTTGCATGTGGGGGCGTTTTTCGTTCTTCCCAGGTTCCTAGAAAGCCTCTGGAGCCTGGGGAGGGCAAAAAACGGGCCTAACGGGCCCACCAGAAGTCGGAAAATGGGCTGTTTCTGGCCTCTGGAGGGTTCCAGGAGGGGCAGAGGTGGCAGTTTTGCCCTCCCCAGGTTTCTAGAAAGCCTCTGGAGCCTGGGGAGGGCAAAAAACGGACCTACTGGGCCCACCGGAAGTCAGAAAACGAGCGGTTTCCGGCCCCCAGGGGCCCTCCGGGGGCACGGGGGAGGGGTTGTTTTCACACACACACACCAGGCTCCAAGAAAGCCGTGCGCACATGCGTGGGGCAGGGGGGGGTCACGCATGCAGTGGGGGCATTAAATTATGGGGGTGGTCATGTGAGAGTGCGGGCGTGTGCTTTTGGCACCCGAGGTGAAAAAGGTTCACCATCAGTGCTCTAACCTGTACTAGGAACAAGGTCAGCTTTGAATTATGTGGGATGGGCCCATCTGGGCCTGATCCAGACTGGTCCTATCCTGCCCCATTGATGTTGGTGAGAACCTGGCTAACATAGGAGGACCAGTGGAGGAGAGGCTTAAATTGTGAAGTCCCCTAAAAGGAGGGTTTCTCCACCTTGGTGATTTTTCAGGGGGGTGGACTTCAACTCCCAGAATTCCCCAGCCAGCATAGCTGGGAGCTGAAGTCCACCCATCTGGAAACCAGTGGAGAAGCCCTGCCTAGGAGAGAGCAGTTTCCTGCCTTCTTTTTTAAAGCATTAATAAAGACTTTAGTTGCCCGAAAGCCTCTACTTAGGTTTAATAAGAAATTCATATTAATCATTAACAGAAAGGTGGCATGATTCTTCAAGATAATCAAATATTGACAGGTTAGAAATAGCTTTCTGCCTAGGTTCATTGATATAGGTTATATGATATAAATATTTATTTATTTTCTGTCACTCAGGGAAAATGCCGCCGATTGATTGAGCATTGACGTAGTGTCAACAGTTCATAAGAAACATTTGACTGGCTCATGTTTTCCGATTAGTCCCTGCTCTATGAAATGGGATTTACTAAATCTCTCCAATTGTCTGTTCATAGACTGTGCCTGCTTTCTGAAGCCATTAGGACTTTGATTGGTTCGGGGGGGGGGGGAGCCCATACAGGGTGAGGCGCCTGCCGTAGCTGTATATATCAAATAAGGATTAATTGAGCATTTTTTCCTAATGATTTATAAGAGATGCATGCTGATTCTTTCCAAGACAGCAGATATAAACAAAGAGTATTTTATTTGCTGATCCATAATTGGATACTATTTCACTTTCGGTTCCTTCCTTTACTCTCAGTAACCGATCAAAGATTGCATGAGAAAAAAAATAATGCACCAGTGTTTGCTGCAAAGTTGGTAGTTGTGAGGATTTGATTGATGCCTTCAGATTCTCAAGCACAATAAATAAATTGCTAGGGATCCTTGACATTTCTCGCTGGGTTTATGAAGTTTTTATTTATTTATTTAGTGTGGCTTTATCCTGCATTTCGGGCAATTATGTTCCCTCAAAATGGCTCTAAAAAATTAAGAAAAGAGAAAAAAAGCTTTATTCTCAAGTTCACAATCCCAGATTTTAAAAATGCAGAACTCCAATGCTTTGGTGGCATATGGGAGCTTTCTGTTTATGATGACAATCAAACCAAGCCATGGTCAACTTGAACATGTGTTATTTTTGAGCTGAACTGGCCCATCCCAGAATGGAGCGAGGGAATATCTGGAGTAGGATAATCAAGGAATTCTCATTCCGCTGCCTCTGCTTTCCCTCCTGCAGTGGAGAGGATAATAGAAATCCAGAGAAACAGCAGACTTTAGGCATTTTTACAAGAGGCAGAATACATATTTATTGTTCCCATCAAGCCCACTGAGAACTTTCTTTTGGATCACCAAGTTTGATTCAGCCAATCTGGTTGACTACACAAGTGTCCTTCACCGATCCATTTGTGTCCTTCCCAAAGCTTGGTTTAAGAGGAGGCCATCCCCGATAGGAGCGTATTGATTTTGCTCAAGATTATATAATAACTCTGCTCCGCTGCTAGATCTTCCAAAAAAGCTCCAGAACTTTCTCCCATAGGTATTGGACACACCTGACATACAAAAAAATGCTGAGACTCCAGAAAGAGTGTGGAGAAGAGCAACAAAGATGATTAGGGCACCAGAGGATAAAACCTCCGATGAATAGTTGTGGGAACTGGCTCTGTCTAGTTTAACAAAGAGGAGGACTAGGGGTGATATGATAGTCTTTCAATATTTGAAGGGCTGTCACGGGAAAGAGGGGGTCGATCTGTTCTCAGAAGCACATGAGAGCAGGACAAGAAGAACCTGGTGAAATATTAAAGAGCCATCCAACCTAGAATTATGAACAGATTTCCTGACAGTGAGAACAACAATCAGTGGAATTGCTTGCCTCTAGATGTTGTGGATGCTCCATCACTGGTGGTTTCAAAGAAGAGTTTCAACAGCCATTTGTCTGATATGGTATAGGGTCTCCTGCTTGAGAAGGGGTTGGAATAGATGACCTCCAAGGTCCCTTTCAACCCTATTATTCTATGTTCTATATGTTTTGGGGCGAGATGTAATTTGGAAGTTTGGAAAAGTTCTAAGGCCCACTTGGTTCCAGTCATTCTTTTGAAAATGTAGTCAAACATCTTTTGGGTGTGTTGGTTCTTGGGTCTTTAGATTCCACCCACTAAGCCGAGCTTTGCAGGATATTTGCTGTAACTCCCAGAGTGGTTAAA